AGTTTGCAGCGACATTCCCGGCCCTAGGCAGAGAAGTGCTCAGCGCTCTGAGAGATCCGCAGGCCGCTTCCTCCAGAGACAAGGGACAGGTTTGAGCTCACACCACACAGCAGGTTGTCTCCACTGGGAAGGCAGATCCAGCTCTGCCCTGGAGCTGCAGCAGCTGGGGCATTTCATGCAGATCCATGGGTACTCTTTGCTGGAATCAATAGGCACCAACACCAAAATGATCTACAGGTACATATTACTAGTTTTTACACAGTACTTAAAGCATACGACATAGATACATTAGGTCAGCCTTACTGTGGTGTAACTGGCTTGTGAGAAAGTGTCAAAATTCACTGCAAACAAATGAACAAGTGCAAACTTGCTTATTTTATTAGACCAGCAACATATATTCTTTGCATGTTCTTTACAAAATGTCACTCTTCTTTTGATATTTTAGAATCCGTTTAATATAACGTCTAGGGGCTGTTTGACCCAGGCAGAATTTAATGTACTTCTGTACTTATATTCGGAACTTACACTACCATTCAGTTTGGGGTCAGTAAGATTTTTGAATATTTCTGAAAGTCGCTTATGTTCACCAAAGATGCATTTATTTGCTTAAAAATGCAGTAATATTGTGAAATATTATTGCAATTCAAGAAATTACAGTTCTGTTTGAGTATACTTCTTTTGAATAACTTTGATATAAATATAATTTTAAAACATACTTTTTAATCATCCAATATTCCAGTCTAACATGATCCTTAAGAAATCCTTCTAATATTATTAGAATATGATTTGTTGCTCAAGAAGCATTTCTTATCATTATCAGTTTTGAAGACCATGTGTGCTGATTAATATTTTTGTGGAAATCAAATTACTTTTTCATATGTTCTTTTATGAATAAAAAACTGGATGCTTCAATTTAACGCATTGTTGAATGAAAGTATTAATTAATTTCTTTAAAAAAATACAAAATCTTACCAACCCTAAACTTTTGAAAGGTAACTTTTTTTTCACCTTAAAAAATCTTTTGTGGAAAAAAAGTGGAAAGATTTAAGCCATGATGACCGGTTTACTTCAAGGGATAGTTCACCCAAAAATGAAAATTCTGTCATCATTTACTCACCTTCATATTGTTTTAAACCTGTATGGATTTCTTACTTCTGCAGAAACCTAAAGATGTTTTTAAGAAACATTGTATGGACCAAAAAAAAATTTATTTATTTTTTTCTCTTTTTTATTCCACAGAAAAAAAGAACTCATAAATGTTTGGAACAACATGACAGTGAGTAAATGATGGTGGAATTTTCATTTTTGTGTGAACCATCCCTTTAAACAAATGTAAATAGATAAATTGGTTTGTTGGAAAGTGTACCAGTGTTCAGTTTCAATAGTATTCAAGTACAATTATCCAAAAGAATACTTTAGTACAGAAGTATAATTCAATTATTCAAGTACATCCCTGATTTATGAATGGCCCATACAGCACTAGTTTATTTTGCAGTCATGTTTTTGAACTGTTATCAGCTGCGGTTTGTAATATTAATTTACTTGCACACTTATTCATCATACAAAATAAATTACATGACCCATAACGGCTTACACAAGAAAATTTGCAAATTAAATGAGCCATGGATTCAGTATCTGTTTGAATAAATGAAGCAGTTGGGATTTACAGTAATTGAGTTCACAAAGCAGGAAAAACCAGGCCAAAGTGTTTAACCGAGATTCAAAATATGTAAAGCAGGTTTTCAAAAGCATGTTTGCTGCTTTTCAATTACATTCTTGACATGTTTATTATATATAGACACTTTGCATTTTTAGAGCATGTCTTTTGGAATGAAAAGACAAGTACCCATACTGTATAATCAGTGAAAGCATGTGTCAAAGATCAAAGGTTTTGTTTATAAGTTGAAACACCATTATGAGTCAGAGGTGTTATTCTAGCCATCGAAGGAGGGGCTACCGCTGGGTAAAATAAAGCTATTAGCTCTGATAAGCAGCCAGCTTGATCTGCTTTGACTCACACTGTTTTTTCTGCTAATAAGTAGCAATACAACTAATCCCATATGACAGCTGGGATTATTCTGAGGGGAAAGAGGGAGAGAGATGAGGGTTAGGAATGTAGTTGTGCAGAAGGAAGAGGTCATTATGTAGACGAAATGTAAATCCATTCTTACATAATCCTGTCATATTTGATGTAGAGGTGAAAAGCATATATTATCAATTATAGGGGTTCTGTACAACTAATTGTCATGGCCAGTGACTGACAGATTCATACTGTGAGTATGTGCCATGCTGAGACCAGTGGTTATGATGATTTTGCTTGCCGGATGATGTTACAGCCTATTAATAATGTATGTTCAACAGTTCAAAATAATAGTCTTTTTTATTTTGTTATTCTGCTTTTTGATGTTAAAGGCATAGTTCACCTAAAAATTAAAATTCTGTCATCATTTACACACCTTGTTTGGTTATGGGTAACCAAACAGCTGATGGTCTCTTATGGACTTCCATAGTATTTTGTTTTTCATTATTATGGAAGTCAAAGTGGGTCATCAGCTTGATGGTGAGTAAATTATAACAGAATTTTAATTTTAACTGTCCCTTTAATACATGACAGCAAGGTAACCTTCCTGAACTGGTCAATTATGTGAATTAATTCATATTCATAAGTCTAATATTCATAATAGATTAATAATCTTTTTTTAAATTTTTTTATACGTTTTTCAGGGTAACTCATTCCAGAATATCACACTAATAACAAAAATACCTGACTTTAGATTTGCATACATTTTTTAACAACTATTAACTATTACAAATTGCATTTTTTAAATGCATACATTCTAATTGAAATCTCCGCTTCGCGTCGTGGCTGCATCACCACCTCGGGTGTGCATTATTTTCTAATAATTCAACGGCAATTATTCCTTACTTTTAGAGTAGAATTCTACAATTGTGTGTGCAATGTGTCTGTATTGTTTTGGTCTTAATGTCAGGACAAAAATATGCCTTTACCCACTGAAATGTAATGAATCTTTTTTTAAATTTTTTTATACGTTTTTCAGGGTAACTCATTCCAGAATATCACACTAATAACAAAAATACCTGACTTTAGATTTGCATACATTTTTTAACAACTATTAACTATTACAAATTGCATTTTTTAAATGCATACATTCTAATTGAAATCTCCGCTTCGCGTCGTGGCTGCATCACCACCTCGGGTGTGCATTATTTTCTAATAATTCAACGGCAATTATTCCTTACTTTTAGAGTAGAATTCTACAATTGTGTGTGCAATGTGTCTGTATTGTTTTGGTCTTAATGTCAGGACAAAAATATGCCTTTACCCACTGAAATGTAATGAAATATAGTCTATACTAGGAAAGAACTTTCCTAGCCAATAGAATTACACATTTTAATATCAGCCAACTAAACTTTGTTCAGAGGGCTAAATGGTCCCCCCAGCTCCAGTGCCAATGGTTGTTTCTATTACATTTCACTATAATATAGTGCATCCCACATCAGATTTTCACATTTAATTGTGTTTCTAAATCAGTGACTTTCTCGACTGTTCTTAGAGAGGAGAAACTTATGATAATGTAATCTGGATAAACTAAGACGATCAAAATGAGGGAGCTATGTCCTAGGAGGGCTCTTGCAAAACCATGTTTGACAAAACTAATTTCCTGTTAGAGCTCTTTATTTGGACGAGAGTGTAATAAATTGGGTGATCTCTGACTGAGTCTCATTATCAGGGGGACGTTTAGAGAGATCTTTGTCTCAGGGTGCCAGAATAGTTTTTCCATCAGGGGACGCCAAAGTGTGACAGTCTCAGATTAAGCTCACTTTAATGACACACTTACACTCAGTTAAGACTGTCAGACAGAGGTTTTGAGACTTTAGTCTTTGCAACTTCAGAGATCTTATTTATGCACAATCAGCTTGTAACACTACAAAGAGAAAGGAAAACTTGAAATCGCATCATATGACCCCTTTAAGTGATTTCATGGCTCTTACTCAAGGGTTAGGTGGCCTTGACCCGGGGTTCAAAATGTACTGTAATTATATATTTGGTATTATTTGAATGGCAGTTCTGTAAATTCGGTCATTATGACCAAATTATGTTTTGGGAGAACATCACCAGTGAATATTCTTTGGAATTTTTCTTTGCCAGCTAGGACAGGTTTCAGGCTGGTTCTGTCCAGTTTTCTCATATATGGCAATAGGTTTCTGTCAAGTTCTAGTTTGTCATTTCTAAAGCCCCTAACTTATTTTGTGTGAGAGTCTGTGAAGTTGGGTCTACTTCCTGAGAGAGGAAATAAAAACATTTTCAGGTTTGATCAGGTTGAGTCTTTAATATCTGAGCGCACCAGTCAGGTTGGATCACATGATCTTGTTTACGGGCCAGATTCAGGTTTTTATTTGATGTCTAGCTTTGAACTCCCTCACTGAACAGCATGTTTTGTTCAGTCATTGTTATAATCCCACTGCAGCACAATGAAGTTTCAAGGAAAGCATTGTGGGACACTGTGTGACCTGACAGGAGTGTCGTTTACTGCTTTTAGGATGGTTAAGCTCAGCTTTCACATTAATGCTGCATGTTATGTTTCATTTGACAACCAGATGTCAGTAACATTAGTCAGTAACATCTTTCAGGGGTTTAATATATGCTAAAAAAATATCAAGATGTCGAATCAATGCTTAACTGTTCCATCACACCCTTTTTCAAGTTTTTGCAGTGGACTACATGAGACACACTGCAAAATGAGAATGACACCTGCATTATAAACGTATCCAAGTGTATCACACTCACACATACATACGTAGTCCCATCCAGATGGATTGTCTTCACTCTCGCTGTTGAGCGCAGCACTGAGCCGCTGGTGAGAGACTGCAGTTATTTCAGTCTCATTGCAGTCTCTTTCTCTCTCTCTCTCCTCCCTCCTTATAGTCTCTGATTGAGCATCATTCTCACATGCTATGCTTTCATGCCTCCTCTTTCACACTCACTCTCACTCTCTCCATCTCTGTTAGCCTCACTTTCACTTACAGCCCCAGTGATCATGCCGCATCCCTCTCTCCCTCTGTCCTCTTCTCTGCCTGTCTGCTTTCGTTTAAATATTTCTTCATCAAACTGACTCTTTTCAGGGCCAACCGAATCGCATTCGCCTGTTTTTGGAAAGAGGACATTTAGATGCGGGACGCGGCGGGTTTTTCACCTTGCAGCTCACTTATTCTGGACGGGTTTTGGGAGGGGGTCTGGTTCCATTTTGGAGTTTCAGGAATACATCAATCGTCCGGTTTGCAGCCCACCGAGTGTTTTCCCAGAGTTCCGGAGTCTGTGGCATAGCTGTGCGTCTCCTGAGGTGCACTTGGACTGCTCTTATCGTCTCGGTGAGGAGCGTGGGCTGAAGAAAACCCCCCTCAGCCTGTCATCAGCCCGAGTAGGAATACCGTTGAGGGTCAGCTAAGATCAGTGGAGGGGAAAGAGTGACAAAAGGAGGCAAAACGAAGAGGCAAAGCAGCATCGCACAGGTTAAGAAGAGCTTCAAACGGCGGCACAAACGGGATCAGCTCCTGTTGGGAAAGAGAGCAAGAGTTTCAGAAAGAGAGAGGCAGGCTTTCATTTGTAAACTCTAAACTAGTGACTATAAACTCTTCAGTACTTGAGAGCCAATCCAGAACTCTTCAATCAATCCTGATACTCTTGGGCTTCCAGGACAAGCTGTGTCGGTTTTTCCTGCTCAAGTTCCTTTGCAGTTAACAGCCATGCAGGTGTCGTTCGCGTGTACGGATCACGGGTTGAAGGCCCCGCGCACCAGCGAGCCGAACAAGCAGAACACGTCGAGTCCGAACACGGCCAGCGCAGCACGGGCACGGTTCCGAACGGTGGCGCTGATCGCCCGAAGCCTGGGCTCCTTTGCGCACAGGCACCACATTTCCCTGAAAGAGTCAACTGGAAAACTCACTGGCATGAAGTACAGGTACAGAAAACTTCTGGCAACCACCGAAAATTTGATGATAACATTGTAAAATATCAGTTATGACACAGTTTGAGTGTGTCAATTGAGAATTCTGTTTTAACACTGACAGGTATAGTTTTGATAACTCTGATCTTTGTTATTCTTTTTATTCTCAAAAAGACATGGAAAATGTTTCTATATAAAAATAGCAGTTTACTCTGTGAATGTACAGATTTTACAACTCGTTCTAGTAAACTCTGTCCTTGAAATCTTAAATGGATATTTCATCCAAAAAAATTAACATTTTGTTAATTTACTCACCTTCATGTTGTTTCAAACCTGTATGCATTTCTTTCTTATGTAGAACACAAAAACAGATATTATGAAGAATGTTAATAACCAAAAAGTTCTGTGGAAGTCAATGGGTACTGAAACTGTTTGGTTCTTTAAAATATCTTCTTTTATGTTCCACAAAAGAAAGAAAGTAATGCAAGTTTGAATTTTAATTTTTGGGTGAACTTAAATGTTTAGTTCATGAAAGTTCATGTTTTTGTTTGATGTAGTGGTTAATAAAGTGAGTTGGTGGAGTGATTGATGAAGTGAAAAGTAAATTGTTATTGGCTCCATTGTGAACAGTAGATTACTTTATTACGCACTCAAAACAAACAGTGGTTTCTCGTCTTGTGTGTGGAATACTGAATTGGAGGAAAGGCTGGTGCAGAGAGCTGAAACATTTGGGGTGGGTGTGTGTGTGTGTGCGTGAATTTGAGAGGGCGGTGTGAACTAATGGTTTTTGTGCTGGAAATAATTAATTGCATCTGAGACACAAGTATACCACAAGCATGCAACAGTTATCACATATCTGCTAGTTTCCATAACGACAGAGAACTAGCGGTTTGCCTGCACTTTACTCTAATTGGACACATTAGCTGTTGGACAGGGGTCATAATTGGGCAGTAGGGTAAACCTGATCACCCTCGGCTGACGTCCAGCTTCACGCACTCATGTTTGACATTTATTACTTTTCTACACTTTCATTGAATTAATTGTGTGATTTAAAAGGGCCGCATCATGTGGAAATTAGTTTGTCCTGATATTTTGAAATAAGATTTTGATGTACCATGAAAACATGCTGTCACTTTCAGAACATATATTATACATATTATAATTCCTGAACAGCAGAAGAATTAATGATAAAATGAAATGTAGGGAAACCTTGCGCTGTTCTCGGTTGTTTGTAGCTCTTGCTTCTATAACCTTTCCGAAGGATTCCAGTGTTAGCAAAGTGTGGCTGAAGCTTATTTTTAACCAGATCCATGTTATTTTAATCTTGAGAGTTTATGTGGCACATTTCATTGTTTGTTGAACGTCACAAGGTAACGCAGGCATTGCAGAGAGGTTGTTATTGAAAGATGGAGCAGTGCAAACTACATCAATCCTGTGCTCCATGTGCACAGAGCTGTTCATTTTACATGCAAAGAGGCTGTTTAAAGGGACAGCAGTTAGATGGGTTGTGCTTTTGAGAAAGGGTGAGAAAATAGCCATCCAAAACTAAATTATGACTTTACAATTATGATTTTGGTGCAATATTATTTGCATCATATCATATATGAATCATTTATATCATATATATATGTGTATATATATATATATATATATATATATATATATGCACATGAACCTTTTTTAAAATAACTATGTGAATATAAGCATGAAAAAGCAGAGGAGACTTTTTTTGTTTTTGTTTTTTTTTACCTTATTTTGACTTATTGAGGTCATAGTCAAATCACATAACAAAACAAGACATTTCAAACCATCAGAGGCTTGCAGGGCACAACTTCTTGCAGAGAATTCTTATAGGTTGTTTTCACAGGGCAAGGTTACGCATAAGTAATGGCCCTCTGTTTATCGGATATCCCGGATATCCCGTCTCTGTGGTTTAATCAGCTGTCACTCACTGTGATTTAATCTTTAGAAATAGCAATTGCTCTGACAGCGTAGAACCTCGGGTGTTTTTGTAAACATTACATTTGTGTAGAAGAAGTGATGCTTACATTTTAACATCTTTATGTTGCACAAGAGTGTGTGCCTTTGATTAAGATTGTGTGTTTGAAGTCAGTGGTCAGAATGAATGTATTTGAATAATGTGTGACATGGAAGTAAATTGCTGTTCCATCTCTGGGTTTGTTCTGCTCAGGGTCCAAATTTAATGTGCCAATGGCAAATATCGAGAAAATGTACAGGCCATTACTATGTTTTACTGTATTTTGCATAATTTCCTTATTTTACTTTGTCCATTTTTTTATGAAGAATCATATACTGGATAATTTTGTTCCTCATTTTAGTCAGGTTCAGACTTTATTTGGGTTGCATAACCATAGGAATGTGTCACTGCATGAAATAAATAATTTTTAAAATGTTTAAATCATATATATTATATATTATAGTATAAAAATAGCATAACAGTAAAAACTAGAATTCTTATATTGTGCTTAAGCTGTATTATTTTGGAATTCTGAAAAATGTTACTGTCAAATTCAGTTTACTCTCCAAAACAAAAAAGATGCTCTCATTTGGGTCTTTGAGTGTTAATTTTGGACACTGCTTCTGCTTAACCTAATCATAACCCTACCCTATAACAAATCTGAGCAGTAAGGCTTTTTTCTGTGTTCTCGCTCTCTTTCTGTCTCACTTGCTCCGACTTTATAAATGACAAGAAACCTTAAGATACAGTTTAAAACTTTGATGTCCACATATTTGTAAAGGCCATATGTTAGTGTATGTTAGTCCAAGGGATTAAGCATTAGCATTGTGTGTGTGTGTGTGTGTGTGTGTGTGTGTATTTGTATCTCTCTCTTTCATTTGCTCAATTAATAAAAGTGTAATTCTGCCTGGTATTTCTGAATTCCCAGCTCTAAAGCAAACAGTTGCAGTGTTTCATGGCTCACTGGCCAGAGCTGCAGTCCAGATGGGCAGTCGTGCTGTGTGTGTGTGTGTGCATTTGTCCTTGTCATTGTATTTGTGTGTGGGCTTCTGTTTTCTTGGCCACTGGCCTATTAGAAATCAATCAGTGTATGTGTTAGTTTTATTTGGCTTGTAAGCATTTTTCTTCACACCATAATGGTCCGTTGTGCTAATGTGTGTGTTATTGTGATCTTAGATCTATCAATCTATCCATTGTTAGTTAGTTACAAGGTAGGCAGGTAAATTATATGTTTTAAGCAACATTAGGGTGAGTAGATGATGATATAATTTTCATTTTGAGTGAACTATGCCTTTAATTGTCAGATGAGCTCTGGGCTCCTCAGACACTGCTGAGGGACTAAACCTGATTTTGCTGGAGAGAGAACTGAGGAACATCCTGAGGTGCTTAGAAAATCCCTTCCTGCTCACAGTTACCTATCTGTTAATAATCGTATTGTGTTATTAATTTGCTGATGAGGCTTAATAGTTTTGTTTTTAAAACTATTTCATTTTTATTAAAAGACTGCACGCATACATTCACACACACACAGAGGTAATATCATTCAGATCCCACCCGCACGCACACACACACAGTAGTTCCCCTGACTGCTCTAAATTCATTATCAATTCTGTTTTACGATGACTACAGTATCACTAGAGACAGTAATGAGGCTTCACACACACTCTCACAAGCTCGTACTCCTACAACAGTCTTGCTGAAATGCTTAAAGCAGGTGGACGCATCCTTTTAACGGTCATACTGATAAATATTCGAGTGCTTCTCTTTTATCTGTCAGGTCCTCCAAATGCTGCATGTCGTTAGTTTATTAATAAAACCCTTACAAAAAAGTACTGTGACGTGCCAGAGTACTTTAGTATAGTATTTTTGATACATGATACATGGTGTTTTGGATATGGTACTGTACCATGGTACTACCATAGTACACTAGCGTTCTAGAGTTTGGTGTCAGTACAATTTTTTTTCATGAAAAAAACCCCCCACATGAAATCAATCACTGTGAGAAGTCACAGTAAATAAATGTATGAGGTAAAAGTATTTTATAATATTACGGTTTTACTGTACTTTCGATCAAACCAGTGCAGCATAGTGAGCATAAGAGACTTCTTTCAAAAACATTTAAAAATCTTACAGACTCCTACAGACAAACTTTTGAATGGCAGTGTGGTTTGAACGTTTACTATGGTAGTAATATGGTATTCTCGGAGTACCATATAAAAACCATGATCCATGAATTTCAGTAAAAAAATGGTTTGTACCATGGTACGGCAGTGGTATCACATGTACTGCTATGTTATTTTTATATATATCATGGCACTGAAATTCATGTATCATGGCACACAGTTTATGGTACTCCAAGGTACTTACAAAAATACCAAGGTACTACTAAGGTATTCTGAAAAATAAATTCAGATGGTCAAAAAAACACGATGTTAGTAATGGTATTACCATGGTTCATGGTAAACCATGGCACTATGATAGTGTCTAAAATATGGTACCAATTAAGTTACCATGGTACCATGTTCAGAATAATATGTAATTTCTATGGACACATGGTGATACCACACTTCGTAACTGATAGATGTGATTCTGTGTTTTTGTGTTATGTGTGTTTTGAGCATCCAGTAAAACAAGGAAAAAAACCTGTTGTGTTTCTGTATACAGTCATGCACATGAACAAACAAATCAGACCTGCTGTCCTGTCAAGACACATGTTCTTCATACACCTTCCTCTCTACAATGTCAATTAAACGATTCATACAGTTTCCATTAGGCTTGCTGAGGCATTTCTGAGCTCTTCTGTCATGCAGTGTCTCAGTTCTTCAGCTCTCTGACTCAGCTTGCTGTGATGAGGAAGGATCTGTTGACACCCAACAGTGTGCGTGTCTAATACCCGAAAAAAAGACATAGGCCTACACACCCATCACGCGGAGAACAGGGAGTTTTAAATTATATATGTCTGCAGCTGAGAATGTGCTGTGGTTGTAATGTCACACAGACTAATAATGGCTGGGAAAACGTCAGACAAAATATATTGAGTGGGAGATGATGTTTGGTGACATCCATCGCTTTTGCAACAGCTGCATCGTTGTGAAGGATGAAGATGCCATTTATAAAGACTACAGATTTGTCTTATTTGAAAAGGCAATAATCTGAGAAGCTTGACCTGACCTGCAGGGACAAGATAGAGTGATTTAAGTAGGTCATTTTTTTACAGAGTGTATCTGTTAATTTTGTTTAAAGCTTACCCAGATCATTTAAGGGGATGATACGCAGAAAGTTGGAGACGGATCTGTTTGGAAGGGAATGTGAACTGTGCATGCTGATTTGATATTCTCACCATAAACTGAAAACCAGGGGGTGGGTGTCCGTGAGCCAAAATCAATGTTCTTGGTTTCCCTCCAAATGCATACTAACTAATATCCTGCGAGTCAATGCACAGCTTCACAACCACACAGAAATATTCAAGTACCATGTCTGGTTGTTCCTCCTAAAATAATTACCCAAAATGCAGAAACTCCATGTTGATTGTCTTATTATGATACAAAATCAGGTTCTGAGGCTGGCAGGTTTGGATCCAGACATCAGGAGCTGTTGCTCTGGTATTTTTTAACTAAAAAGAGAATGTGAGTGGTGCAAAACCCGCCACCACGATGTTAAGGTGTTGTGGGTGGTTGCCAGGATGTTGCTATGTGGTTGGTGCTCAGAGTGGTTTTTCATGATCTGCTCTGCGTTTGCTTGGATTCTCTGAGTGTCTCTATGATTTTGCGGTCAATAAATATGGCTCAGGTCCCTCCTTCACTGTAAGTATAGTATTTTTCATCTACCTGTTGAAAATTGTAAATCCAATTGCATAGAAAAACATTATCACAACCTCTCCTCAACAATACACATTATCTGAAGTGTCATTTAGTTCTGTAGCACAAGCAAATTACATGCCAAAGTTTATTGCTTCAGTGTTTGTTCAGATGGATGGATGGATACATACGATGGATGGGTGGATGGATGGATGGAAGGATAAACGGCCAGATGGATACTATATGGATAGATAGATAGATAGATAGATAGATAGATAGATAGATAGATAGATGTTCTTCCTGCATTCAGTAAAACACACACCAACTGTTCATCATAATCACAGGAAGCAAACAATCGTTTAAGTAATTTGAGGACAGTAATGGTGAACCTAGAACAATTTGATTTGTGGTGAAGAGCTGAGGTGTGGGTTTAAAGTGAATGAGGTGTTATCTCTGACTCAGTCAGGCATTAAGAGGGAGCCACATATCAGAGTAGAGGAAATTTTAATGATGGAGGAGTTGAAATGGATTGCTGAGGTTTTACTGTAGATTGAAACCAGGGCTGCTGTTAAAGTTACATCCTCACCCTGATGAATAGAACTGTGGCTAATGTATTTTATATTGTAGCCAATAAGATGATCTAAATAGGAGGCTAAAGCCATAAAAAGATCAGATCCACGACTTTGGGGCATAAATACCAGCCGGCCATTTAGTGTGGGTGCATTCACATGTACTTTTTAAAGCTATTAAAGAGTTTTGTTCTCTGATAATAACTATCTTAAATCACTGAAGTGCTGTAAGAGTCACAACGGTCTCTATGGATCAAGTATTCAGTTGTTGTCCACACTGAGAGAAAGTTAAAATGGTTTCCTCTATGTCCAAAAAGAAGGTCCATTATTCACATGCACCATAGTGGGAGGTCATGAATGCTTTTTTGAAAACCAAATAGCAGAAACATGCTTGAACAGTTATTACCTTAGAGGTGTCTTTTTAACATTTTAATTTTACTTTAACTTTTAAAATAAAAGTGTTCAGTGTACAATGAAAACATTTCAGCGTGTATTCATTCATGAACCTGTCACAGTTAAACGTTATTGAAGGTTGGGTTTTCATCAAAGCATTTTCTGAAAATTTTTAAGATGTTAAAAAATATAAATTATAAGGATGCATACATACAGTACCTATTTTATTTTTCTACTTTATAATGTGCATTTTTCTTATTAAAATAAAATAAAATATCATAAAGGCACTAGAGGCACAGTATGTTATGTCTTTGATAACAGTTTTTCCCACTCTCTCTCCACAGGAATCTTGGGAAGTCAGGACTGCGAGTATCATGCCTTGGACTCGGTAAGCATTTTTTGATTTATAAACCAGCAGCCATTAACCATAAAACACCAAAAGGTCGCACTGAATATAAGTACTATAGATCAGTGATACGTTCACACAGTATGTTTCAATGAAGTGCAGGCAACAGTGTGTGTTTGAAGAGTGACATGATCTCGAAAATGTTGTCCTCCCTCCATTCATATTTAATTTATCATGAATTAAAACACAAGCTCACTAATTGCCTCACACACTCCACACACAGCAGGAGAGTGATGGGTTGAAGCTTAATTTATTCTCTGTTCCCTTTTATTTTTAGGAATAGATGGTTTCATTAACAAGCCTCGTGAACTAAACATAATGACTGTATAAATCTGTTGTTGACTTCTCTTGAGATATAAACGCAGTGTGGCTTAAATAGCAGGAGGTTCTAATGCTACAGGACTCATGCATGACTACGCAAGAGAACATGCTTGATTCAGTTCATTCCAATTTGTGCGTTTTATTTTTATCGCTATAAATCAATGCAAAACACACAAGAAAATTACAGAATCAGTTCATTAATTAATTAAATGCAGGAATTGTAATGGTGTGTTAAAAAATTCAGTTTATGTTTCACCTCCAAGAGCAAACCATCTCTGCTCTCATGAAAACCATAGGGCATTGGAAACTGAATTGGTTGGTGTGGACTGATCTAGGATAAGTGAACTGGCTTTTATTGTTGTCATACTAAAGGCTTTCAGTAAGAGCATTGAGGAACAAACAGCTGCTATTCCACCATTAAAAATAAAAAAACTGGGCTTATCTTTACAACACATTTCCAAATGGTGTCTCTCTTATCCTAGATCAGATTCTTCCTCTGTATGAGTCCTTCCTCCTTCCTGCATCCAAAAATACACTACTGTTCAAATGTTTGGAGTCAATAAGATTTTTAAAATCTTTTTGAAGTCTCTTATGCTCACCAAGGCTGCATTTAATAATAACAAAAACAGTAATATTGTAAAATATTATTACAATTTAAAATAACTGTTACATGAGTTGCATTGCATGAAGTTGCTGTCAGCCGAAATGGTCAAACTCTCAATAGCCCCTTTCAAATAGTAATACCAGTAAATTGCCATAAAATTACTGGAACATCCTTACCAGTAAATACAAAAATGCGCTGTTCACACCGGTGTTGGGTGTGTAAACATGGAGGGGTATATGAGGTCAGTGTTTTTGTTGATGTTTTAATTTTTATGTCAAATGTTCACATTCATGCAGCTGCTTTTGGCCCAGAGACATCGTATTAGACGACTTCAAACCGAACTACACAACACGGAGTAAATGTCTCATCTGCATCATAATGTTATGATTGGCCCAGAGTAGACATCTTACGTCAGCGTGTTCTGAACTTGTATGTGCTCATACCGGTAATCTTGTTCTGCCGCTAATTTACTGATAATGTTACAACTTCTCATAACGGTAAATTGCCGGAACGAATTTACCGGTATTTTTGAAAAGGTCCTGTTCACACATGATCTCTTAACAGTAATTTACTGGTAATTTACCAGTAAAGACTGTATGTGTGAAAGGGGCTAGTGAATGTGAATGAAATGGATTTAAGTGGCTTTTAGTGTTATTTATTTGCAAATGCTTTCTGTATTATTTTAGCACACAATTGAGTATGCAAATCAGCAAACAGAGCAAACATACTCACAAAAAAGCTGTGCTGAATGAAACTTGCGACTTTTGAGAATAAAACTCAACCAATCAAGGAGCTCGCACCTTATTTACTGGTGGTTAGTGATTTAAGACCTATTCGCACGGGATTAGTATTATCTGGGGACCTTGTGTGATTTTGAAATTACCCCCCCACATCTGAATTTCGTGTGGTGCATTCGCACGGGATAAGCGAAGCCTGTGATTTTACTCGAATTTACTGATTTATCTCCCGGATACCCGGATGTCAAGGCTTTGAGAGTCCCGTTCTATGGTCCAGATGGATTTAAAAAAAAAAAGAAACTAATATAGTTTCGTGCGCTGTGTCATTTAAATTTCACCAGGTTAAAATAATATCTCAAGCTTTATGCTTGATTTATTTGTAACACATTAACCTCAAAACCTTTTCAGCTTTCTCTTTCTGCAAATTGTATGAGCGATATGATGACAGCACCCAAAATACTATCAAACACTCCAACGCAGCTCCATACTTCGCGGAAGATGGATAAAAAGGCGCACAGCAAACAAAAACCTCGAAAAATGATATACAACCCGCCAAATCCTGGCCAAATCACAGAGATGCCGATTCCATTTGCGGGGGAATTTTTACTTTACAAATTACAAACATGTACGATTCGCACGGGATTAAGATCACAGACAACCTCCGCAATTATTACAAATGACTGGAGGTCACCAGGTAATACTAATCCCGTGCGAATAGGGCTTAAGATGCAGATTTTGGTGCTGAAATGTTGTGCGAAAGTGCCGCAACTCACCCTTCAGTGCTGTTATTTTCCTGAGACGTCAAAGGACATTGCTCGGGGTCAGACATCACAAACATTAGCCACTTGATCAAACACAACAAGAGCACTGCAGGCTGATAAGATTTCAGTGCTTCAGACATGCACTTCACTGAATACATGAGGACAGCTTTCAGTGGAAACCACCAAAGCTGCAGTAATTTTTTGTATGGGATTGTGTGTCCACATGTGCATGTATAAATGTATGTTCGTGTTCATGTACATCAGTGGTGTTTGCCCAAAGGCTACCCAGACAGCAACATAGTGTTGGCCCAGATCCGGCCCACATCTGGCCCATGTGAAATCCATGCGGGCCAGATGTGTGCCGGATCTGGGCCGAAACTGTCTGCTGGCTGGGGATGATGGAAGCACAGTGGAGCTTTTAAAAATTTCATCAAAAAATGACATATTTATTTATGTACAAATTATCTATATATTTCTATAAATCTATAAATACTGTAAAATATACATTTAAATAAAATATATTAAATGCATTTAATCTGTTAACTGTCACTACTAGCGAGCTTGACACTAATTTTTTATTGCCTTTTCCCCATCACATATTTTAGTAATCATCCTAAATTAGACATCATTTGTAAGCTTAAACATTCAAAATTCATCCTCTGAAAACCGTTTTGAAATTGAATTTTGTTACCATGGGAATGGTACTTTAAATCCCTTTAGCAGGCTCCTCCCCTTGGGTGTCGTCAAGTATTATATTACAGAATTTACTACAATATTTCATAGTTACAACTTTCTCTAATCTTTCTAACACATACACTGTAAAACTTTACTGTAAATTTACAGGTATTTTCTAACAGTATTATACTATATTTTTATAAAACAGTAACATGCTGTATATTTTACAGAATGTCTGTAAATATAAAGCAGTTATCTGTTTTCAGCACGCTAAATTTGTAATACAGTACTGTATTGTGAATTACTTGCTAATTGTTAATTGCATTTTACATGTTTTATATATAAAAAAACAAAAACAACTACAGCTGGCATTTCAGCCAATATGTTCATATAAGGCAATTTTCTGGTCTTTTCTTCAAAAATAAATGTTTTAAAACTCAGATAATGTTGTTTTGTCTTTTCTGTTGTGACTACTGTTATGAAAAAGTATAATATTTTTAATTTTGTAAATTTAAGAGTACGGAATGAAAAGCAGGAATTACAGTATTCCCTGTAAATAACACAGTCTAATACTGTAAAAATAAGTTATATAACAGTATAATACTGTATTTGGTAATTACAGTACAGAACTGTAAATGTTGTTTACAGTAGTAGTCCTGTAAAAATACAGAATGTGGCTGGCAACCCAGCTGCCAGTATTTTACTGTAAATTTACAACGAAAAGTTTTACAGTGTATCGTTTGAAAGGTCTGAGTCTCAAGATTCCAAGATTTGTGATGGAAGTAATACTGTGACAGAGATTTATAAGATAAATGCACCAAAAAATGTGGGTGTCACCTGGTGGTTATTTTGGTATAGTGCCTAAACAAAATCTCGCAGGAACCTCAATTTTTGTGATATCAACTTAAAATTTGGAACATAACTTACTTAGACAGATGGCTTTGATTTAATAACAGTTTTAGATTCAAATATATTTTGTAAAATATTTATTTTAATTTAAAAATCATTTGTCTCAAATTTCATTCATTACATTCATTTGCTAATGTAAATTAATATAAAAAAATTGTCAATCAGCTCTAATACATGGGGAGATCCAGGATTAGGCAGAATGAGCCTGTTATTCCCTTGTTTCTCTCAGTTGTTGAGCTGACGAAGACCCTGGTTCACACCGTTGCTCACAGTAGCTGTACGCATAAAGTTATCTGGCAGCATACGAAACATAAGAAAGGCGCCAAATGTTCCTTATCGTTACGCAGGTGTCACCAAGGGAACGTAACACTTGCAAACGCCCACACTATTTCCTAATTTATCCTACAACCCATGAGTGCTTGATCGCCATGGGAACAGCTGATCACCCCTGACGGGTTCCCTTACCCTGAAACACAGTCTGGTGTGGTGTCTCATGGGATGCCAACAGATCCCATAATATTGAAGCCAAGGACACCAGTGCTTGCTGGAGAGATGCTCAACCCGCAGCCGGGGTGAGTTTTTGGGTGATAGTAGGTGATTGTGACAAGGACGTGGGGCAGTGACTGCAGAGTCTTATCCTGACAGCAATGAATCATGGGTGCTTTAGACTGCTGGCAGTGTAAGTCAGTCCAAGAATAACCTCAGGAAAGAGTCCTCAGGAAAACCTGGGACAGTTTTTACCAAGAATCAACCTCATTTTTGTCTCTTTCTTTGTTGAACTGAAGTATTTATTTTTGATGCTGTAAATTTCCCTATCAAAAAGCACATATATATATATATATATATACATGAAAGAAATTAATACTTTTGTTCAGCAAGGACACATTAAATTGGTCAAAAGTTACAGTAAAACATTTGTTACAAATAATTTTTCTGTTTTAAGTAAATGCTGTTCTTTTGAACGTTCCATTCATCAAAGAATCCTGAAGAAAATGTCTCTCGCTTTCCACAAAAATATTAAGCAGCAACTCTTTCAACAATGATAATAAGAAATGTTTCTTGTGCACCAGATAAACAACATTTTAAAACATATTAAAATCAAAACTCTTTATTTTAAATTTTAACAATATTTAACAATATTAAAAAATGCAGGAAAAAGTTAGAAAGTGAGTTTTAATGTTTTGACTTCCCTGATCTCCCTGAAAAAAAGTCATAATTCTAAAAATAAAAATAAATAGTTTTAATAAATGGTTTGCATCCTATACAAATTAGCACCATTATTATTATATCATATTGAATGAAATGAACAGGGAAATGTTGATTTGTTTAGATCAGTATATGAGTGACAGGTAGACACTACATCCACTGAACAACAGTTAAGTTTCTGGAAATGTCACTGAACATATTTTTAAAAAATTCTTCTTTAACTGGTATTATTACTGTAAAACATTCAGAATCAGGTCTGTTTCTCGTTCTAATATGTTTGAGCGTTTCTGTGACAGTCACCAGAGCAAATAAATCAAGCTCTACTTGGAATAAAAACTCGGTGAATAACCTCTGACTCACACTCCCTCTCTTTCTTTTGATTTCTTTCTCTCTCTTAGGCACGTGGGTGACATTTGGGGGACAGATTTCAGATGAGGTGAGTATTGAAAATTTTTATATTCATAACCTGAAAATGAACTTAACTCATAGCATAGATATATTCGAAAACAATTAATCTAGAGGGTAAACAATCTATTTACTCATAATAAATTATTTTGTAATATAATTGTTGAATCAGTTTTTGTTTTGTTTTGTTTTTACCCATTATTCTCATTTCTAAATCCACTCTAGCCATTATAACAAATTGGGCAGATAAGCATGTTCTGTGTTGACAGTCTTGGCAGAGAAGAAGGCTCGTAGACACATCATGCTGTGGGTCTTCCTCATTATTCAAACAATAACTGCCAATAACATCATTCTGCCAGTGCCCCTTTCTGACACTCACCCAGGGCAAATGCACATAAATACTAGCGGCTCTTACATCATAAAAGTCCCTGCAGCAACAACTTCCACCACAAGCCTGTCTTTCCCCAGAGGCGGAGTCTCCTCTATTGTCCAATCATCCTTCTTGTCCAATCAAATTATGCGAGATGCAGACGTCCCCGTTCGGTCCCCTTCTCCACATGTCATAAGTCATCACATCAGCAGCTGAACAGACGGTTGTTCCTCATCTGTCTGCCAATATACAACTACACTGACAGAACGGATCACTGTCACTCATGCTGACAGTTCTTCATCAAAGAGAGCTAGAGAGAGATTGTAGAGAATGCAGAGGTTTTAGCCACGATGTCAATTGTTCTGTCAACAGAAGATTCAACTCTGACATGAAGATCATTGTATTATTACAGCAGTTACACAAGAAAAACAGATGCTCTTTTAGAATGCTGTCATGTGCAGGATGCCACAAAAGATATAAGACATGAGAGCTATAGTCAAACATGTCCATCTAGTGCACATTTACATAGAAAAACAATGGAAAAGCAGCACAGTCTAAATTGTGACCCTGGACCACAAAACCAGTCATAAGGGTCAATTTTTCTAAATTGAGATTTATACGTCATCTGAATAAAATAATTCAGCTGAATAAATAAGCTGAATAAATAAGCTTTCCATTGATGTATGGTTTGTTAGGATAGGACAATATTTGGCCGAGATACAACTATTTGAAAATCTGGAATCTGAGGGTGCAAAAAAATCTAAATATTGAGAAAATCATCTTTAAAGTTGTTCAAATGAAGTTCTTAGCAATGCATATTACTAATCAAAAATTAAGTTTTTATATATTTACGGTAGGAAATTTACAAAATATATTCATGGAACATGATCTTTACTTAATATCCTAATGGTTTTTGGCATAAAAGAAAAATCTATAATTTTGACCCATACAATGTATTTTTGGCTATTGCTACAAATATACCCCAGCGACTTAAGACTGGTGTTGTGGTCCAGGGTCACAATTCAAAATGCATTCTGCATGAACCGTCCCTAAGGTTGCGTTTTAAGGCTATTTCATATGGGTAATGAAGACTCATGTGTCTCAGTAATTTAACAGCTTGTGCTTTTAAATCTTGAAAACAGTTTTGATACTGCAGTGCAGTTTAATTTATCTCATCCTACGTCATGACTAGCTGTAACTATATATAAAATGATGAGCACAATTTTTAAAGGATACATTTACAAAGCATCCACGCATAATAATAAACTTGTGTTAACTTATTATGTGCATGAATGCCATTATGCTCATTACGTCTGCCTGAAAATCTGTCCATAAAGGCATGTATTATTTTTTTCTGCATCGTTTGACAAACAATGTGAGGTGTAAAGAATGAAATCACCGTTAGATGCTATTAATTCCATGCAATGCTATGACACATACTGTATTCCTATATACATAGTGACAAGCGGGCTTTAAATACCAGGATGGAGCCAAGTGTTTGGAGGGGAGGGGTTGAAAAATAACAGTCAGTGCTCTGTGAAATCAACCGAAAAGGAAAATTGTTTCACGGGCAGAGCAAGCCATTGCATTTTGATGAAAGCTTACAAAGATAAACTGTTTTTCTTTAGAATAACATGCATTTTCTGATCATATTCTGTCCCTCTCTCCGCATCACTTCCTATCCTAACTGCACTGTCCATATGAATGAAAGTGACAAAAAATTCTGTGAAGGTTCAAAACAATATGTCTAAAAAGTACAAATCCAGCTCAACCCTGAATTTGGTTTGGACAAATTAAATGTGATGGACATAAATGTTAGAAAAATGCTTCACATGACAGTGAATTATGTGAAGTGGATTTAAAGGTGGGGTAAGCGATTTCTGGTAGCCAATGTTGACGTTTGAAATCACCAAAACAAACACGCCCCTACCCCAAAAGGGTCTCGCCCCTATTTTGATAGCTCCGCCCCACACATACGTACGCAACCCAGACAACGATTAGTTCTGTGAACAGAAAACTGCTGCTGCGTTCTATTTATGACGTATTGACACAAATGATTTCAAATGATTTTCAACAGTCACTTTGTCGCGTCCAGTGTACTAGACAGACTTTAGCTGTTGCAGCGCAGACACGGTGTTACTCACCTATCGAGAAGAAACAAAGCAACCTCAGTGTCCGATCAAAGGCCTTCCGCTCCTTGAGTTCTCTCCAGCGCTGGAAAGCTGATCCGATATTTACACGGGTCCTACTTCTTGCCTTATTGCCTTAAGCCTTCTTTTGTTCCGCAGACGTTTTCCTCTTTTGTCTTTCTGTCGCTCGGCTCGGCTAATGTCCGTCCCGTGCACTGAACGCTCTCTCCTCCACATCATGAGTAGACACGCCCCTTACTGCTGATTGGCTACAAGTTTGTTTTGCTATTCAGCCCGAATCAATTTTCTAAAGCGTTTTTGAAAAATCGCTTACCCCACCTTTAAGCAGCACTGTTTTCAGAAAGGTGAGCACTCAGTTATCCGTTTACACACACTTCTGAGCTCTCTGCAATACTGACTGACAGCTGAGTGTTTGATATTGGTGTGTGTGTGTGTTTTGCAGGTGGCAGAGCAGCTGATGACTATAGCCTATGAAAATGGGGTTAACCTCTTTGACACTGCAGAGGTCTATTCAGCTGGGAAGTGAGTTTGACCTTTGACTTACAGCAAAACAGAGTGGCTAAATCCATCCAGACACCTTCAGCATACTATCTAACTAATCTAAATCTTTCATACTAGAACCTATTAAATGAATAGCATCAAGTGCAAATTGGGATTCAGCCAGTGTATAAGAGCACAAATAATCCTGGATTACAGTTCAGCCTGTAAACTTCAGATCCAAACTTGCCAAGCTGATTCATCTAAACCTGTTAGAGGAAGCAGAAGGGAATTCACTATGATAGAATTGCACCCACTGATAGCATCATTTTTGCACACATTGCTTTTGCACCAAATTCACTAAAGGAATTATGCATTCAAGTTGAGATGCACATAGCCACAAATTTAGTGCTAAATGCAATTTGCATGGATTGGTTTGCTGGCCAGTTAGGTAGTGCATGGCGCTACAGACTAGAGTGGTCATATTTTTCTGGAGCTGTACATCATCACTCTACCACTGTCATAAGGCACCTTTAAAATGGCAAAATTCTGGATACGTGCCTGGTTGTAATGCTTTTCTCCATTCTTTGAGCATAATTTGATGAATTACTGCTGTCATGATCACTAGAAAAGTACACTAACATTCATTTTAAATAAGCTTTAAATTTCCTCCAGCTTTCTATAGACAGTACCCATAGCTCAACGTTAACTGCATCAGGCAAATAGCGCTGACGCTTGTGAATCTGGCGACTTCTATAATGAAACTCATGCATACAAAGGAGGTGTGTTTACCCTGAAAAAAATGACAGTAACTTTAAAGTTTAAGTTTAAATATATGCATAGAGTAGTGCTATAGTGAATTCACCTCACAGTGCCATGGAAAAAAATCTCTCAAAGCAAGCACTCAAAATGTATCTTTCTTCTTCACAGGGCTGAAATAATCCTAGGAAACATTATCAAAAAGAAGTGTTGGAGGTATTTATCTTAGTTCTTTCATATTATCATTTTAATCATCAATTTCATTGGCTGAGAAATGTATAAGACCACTGCTTTCACACATAGTCCATAATCTGTGTGTGTGTGTACAGGAGATCAAGTCTGGTTATCACCACTAAACTGTACTGGGGAGGAAAGTGAGTATCTGTCTGTCTGTTTTTCTTCTGCCATCTGTCTATTCATTCTGTCAATAAAATCTACTTTCATTTTCTCCATGAGATGTAGGCTCTTAGATTTAGTCTGCTTATAAAGCTTTCTTTCTTTTGTTTCTTTTTCTTTTTCTTTCTTTCTCTCTCTCTCTCTTTCTCTAGGGCAGAGACAGAGCGTGGGCTCTCTAGGAAGCACATTATTGAAGGTAGAGATTCTTCTTCTTTCGTCTAATTCCCCTGTCGTTTGTAATTGACCTGAACCTTTTTTTCTTCTTTTCTTTCTAGTTCCCTCCTCCTTTATTGATTTTTTCTCTCTCTTTCACTGTAGTAGACTGTGTGTGGCCTCAGCACCCACACCAGCATTCATTCTTAAACAGTGTGAGATTCTTTCTCAATCCTTTCTGATAAACGATTATACAGTAACACATGCAAACCAAAATATTGATTCAAATACAGTATACAGTGGTGTGAAAAAGTTTTTGCCCCCTTCCTGTTTTTTTAATTGTTTGCATATTTGTCACACTTAAAAGATTCAGATCATCAAACAAATTTTAATATTACACAAAGATAACCTGAGTAAATACAAACTGCAGTTTTGAAATTATGATTTAATTTATTAAGGGAAAAAAGCTGTCCAAACCTACCTCCCTACGTGAAAAATTATTTGCCCCTCCTCTTAAATCATGAAAGAACTGTGATTAACCACATTATTTTAGAAAGCTGAGTTAAATTTCACTAGCCACACGGAACATCAAATTCTTAGTTCAAACACACCTTTGTAAAAAGGTGCAAATGATACCTAATGTATCAATTAATAAGACTAAGTTTGAATACTTGCACGTCTCGTCTGTCTGAAAGAGAGGTTTGATGCAATCTGAAGGTTCAAGTTTATCTTTGCTGAAGTTGGTTGATGAAAAAGAACCAGTTTGCGTCAGAGAATCTTGGTGAATGGAAAAGTCAAGGCCGAAGCCTGGCACGAACTTAGTGTGTCCTGGAGCATTGTAGCTCACATCTTCTCAGAACCTAACAGAACCATCGACTCTGGGCGGGTCACTGAATGTGAGTTCTTTAAAGTCTGCGAAGATTCCCGCCTCTCAAGATGGGCTTGTCCAATGAGAAAGGCTGACGTCCCAAGTGGGAGTTTTGAGATACTGGGGAGTTTTATGACTCTTTGTGTGGAAGCATGGTAATTTGCATATGGAACTTGAATCGAAATTACTTAAGATTCTCAGGACACTAATATATTGCCTATGTACCAACATATAATATACACGCTCGTTTAGATCATCAGAAGTCGAATTCATAGATACTAAACATGGTAGGGTTATATATATGCAGGATGACAGGAATGAGTGTTTTGATCATAAGCCTGCATAAAACAGTATAAAATCTCAAAGACAACATACACAATGACCTGAAGGATATGTGTGTTCATTCAAAGAAAGGTTTTCCTATGGATTAATTAGAAAAGAGTCCATTTCTACTGTGCACTGTGTCTCTTCCTATGGAAAAGGCAGTGATTTTCCCTGCTCACATTCCTCTGGGTCATAAAACCAGTGATATCAGCATTAGTTGCCATGGGGACCAGGGGTGGCCTGGTGTCGTTGCAGACATCCTGGCACCCAGCATGTTTATTGGGTGAGGGGTCTGTGAATGTTTGTTAATCTAATGAATAATTGATTTGTTAAATCAAATGAAAAATGGTGTGTCTGATTGGTCCAGACGCTACAACAGGAAGGGGGCAAAAACCTTTTCACGGCACTGTAGATACAGAAACCATTTACCTTCTACATTTATTACACTTCAAAATATAATTTTCATAATCTGAATGTTTGTTTGTTGTTTTGTTTTCCAGTAAACATGTCTTTAAAATAAGATACATGTACATGAAAATCATAATAAAGATATCAAGACAATCTTATTTTATTTATTTACTTACCTACTTCTTTACTTATGTATTTAATAATTTATTCATTCATTTTGAGTTTATTTGTCTTAACCCATCCAATCTCAAGTCTGATGAATATTAAAAAATTAACAATTTAAAAAAAGATTTGATCACATACAAATTTAGCTGCCATTTTTTAAAGGCTTTTCATTTATTTGTAATGTATTTTTGTTTACCCATTGTTATAATCTCTTTTTAAAGAATGAGCTTGTGATTAATGGCAATAGTAATAAATGTTCCTGACACAACAAAGTATGTTAAAAGACTTGCATGGCTGAATTCATATTGCCTTAATAGCCTCATGCATAATTAAAATGGCGTATTTGCATATTTCGATTATCAACCACATGAAATTATAAGTGTTTGAAATCATAATCTTTAATTGAGTGCTTGATCAAGAGTGGAAATGTGTAATAATATTCAGATTTATCTCTGCTCTATTACTGTATTTCTATGAGACAGAGGCGGACGACTGATTTTCAGAGAGTTTAATATCTGTAATGCCATTTCTGTATCACTTTCAGATTGAGAAAATTCACTGTTTGTATTTCATGAAACTAATTGAATCATTCACATGCTGCGCTCGTCCCACCCTCCCTCCCTCCTGTTCTCCAAGTTATTTTTATCACTCCAGCTTGTGTGTAGTGTTCCTTTCTGGCTCGCCTCTCTCTGCCCTCCTTGCTTGTGTTTGTTTGACATTGTTTGTGGGCTAGAAAGAAACGTCTGTTTATCCTCTATGTACTTTAAAAAAAGCTCCCTGCTAAGAATATCTCCTCCACAAACCCAGAAAATTCTGACTGATTAGAGCCGTGACGGATGCAAGGGCGCGCTCCGTGAGCACAGGCCTGATTAATGAGTCTGAGATTGGCTGGATTACAGTATTTTTGTGAAAGGAGGAGTGTGGGGTTTATCTGTCAGATTAATTTCAGTATGGCAGAGTAATCATGCCAGCGTCTGTTCACCTGAAAGCTATCTGACAACTTTGTTTCAACACACCTGGTGTGTTTGCGCTTTCTCTTTTCTCTTTCAGCCAAGATTTATTGGCATGACTGTAAAGTTTTGCCAGTCCATTACTTTCACAGTACTTAAATACAGGTGTATGAAATAAGAAAAGCTACAGTACAGTGTGTGTATTATTTGAAAGAAAAGCTTAAATAGAACGAAGAATAAATGTTTTTCGTGGAGTTCAGATGAGTGACCCCAAAAAGTATTTGGACACTTAAGCAGCAATCAAAAAATGTTTGAATGCCATTGCATGAATCAATAAAATGTCAAACCAAGTGGCATTTATTTAAAAGGTAAAACATCACAAGCACTTTTCATGCAAAACATTTGACAGAATAGATGTTTGTGAGGTTCACAACAGAACATTTTAAACAAATTAATACTTTTATTCAGCAAGGATGCATGAAATTGATCAAAAGTGACAGTAAAGACATTTGTAATGTTTAAAAAAGATTTCTATGTCAAATAAATGGTGTTGTTTTGAACTTTATATTCATCAAAGAATGCTGTAGCATGAGTTTCACAAAAAAATATTAAGCAACTCTTTCCGGTATTGATAATAATAAGAATGTTTATTGAGCATCAGATCATATAGAATTAATTTTTTTTATGCTGCTGCTGACAATTCAGCTTTGTCATCACAGGAATAGATTACATTTTAACATATATTAGGAAAGAAAACAGTTATTTTAAATTGTAATAATGTTTCACAACATTGCTGTTGCTGTATTTTTGATCAAAAAAGTGCAGACTTTGTGAGCACAAGATACTCTCCTAAACATTTGCAAAACAAATTTTACCGATCCCAAACTTTTGAATGGTGTACATAATTGTCTATACTTTTATGTGACATTCATTTTAAGTGTGGCTGAATTGCCTTTTTGGGCCATGTTATGGTCTATAAGGGATGAAATAATATATTGGTCAATACGATAACTGCTAATTATTTTTGGGTTCACTGTTTTTATATATTTATATGTTTTATACAGTAAATATGTAATTTTTTACGGCCGATAACTAATATAATGGTCGATATTATACATCTGTACTGTTTTGTGTTCATAGTTAAAGTAATACCAGTTTTGAATTTCTACAAGTTTGAAACAAGCACTGATATAGTTCTAGTATCACCATTTTCACAATATTCTTGATAATTTAAAAAAAAGCCTATATTGGAAAGGATAGGGCGTGACGTGTGGCCAAGTATGGTGTCCCATACTTGGAATTTGTGCTCTGCATTTAACCCATCCAAGAGCACACACACAGCAGTGAGTAGTGAACAAACATGCACACACACACACCGTGAACACACACCCAGTGGGCAGCCAGTGCTGTGGAGCCCAGGGAGCAGTTGGGTGTTCGGTGCCTTTCTCAAGGGTCTCACCTCAGTCGTGTATATAGATAAACACAAAGAAACATATTGCTTACAGTGCATAATGTATGTTATGAACTGTCCCTCAGTGTTCTCTGTCTCTCTCTCTGTTTCTGAATGGGGCAATGATGACAGTCAGACTCAATCATTCATCCTTTTTCTGCTTCCTCATCGTGTTTCTCTTCCTCTTCTCTGGTGTCTACAAAGCTGTACTTTTCTAATCCTCTCTCAGCTGCTCACCTGATCCTATTTTTGCTCTGTCTGAGCTTCCTCTCTCCTCTCATCCCTCTATGTCTTTTCACACTTCTGGCTGTCAGATAGCAGCTAAGAATGAATGTAGGTCCTTAGGCAACTATATGAGATTGTGTCATCATTTTTAATCTTTCCTGTTTCATAGCTGAATGAAAGTTAATTTACTTGCCCTCATGTTGCTTCAAACCTTTTTTTCCCCACAAAACAACAAATATTGTATTAGGCAGAATGTTTATACTACTCTTTGAATGAAAGTGAATGGAAATTGGGGCTGTTTGAGCTCCAAAAATGAAAAAAGCAGCATAGAATTATCACAAATGTGATTCATACAACTCATGCATTATATTCCATGTCATATCCAAACCATTTGATAGTTTTGTGTGAGGAACAGACCAAAATTGAAGCTGTTATTTGATGAGCGTCTTTCCTGCAGCATACTAAACGTATCCCAGACCATCTTTTCTAGTGGATTTAGATGCGATTTTGGATTCACTTTCACAATGACCAAACAAATTATACTCTGAATACAAAAAAACATGCACATTTTCTTATGCTTTCTCTCTGTGTTTTCTCTCTGTAGGTCTGAAGGGTTCTTTGCAGAGGTTACAGCTGGAGTATGTGGATGTGGTTTTTGCCAATCGCCCTGATAGCAACACTCCTATGGAAGGTAGGTGAGGCTTAGGTCCAAAACATGTGTCACTACACTGATGCTTCTAGCTTTGCAAGCTCTATTTTGTGCATCATTGCATTCTAAAAATGGGTTAGAGGCAATTCGTAAAGAAATGCAAGTATGCATTGCTTGTATAGAACTGTCGCAAGAGCTGCTATAGCATTAGCATAAACTGTCAGCAAGTTTCTCTTTACTGTAATAGCAGTGCAGCAGTTTAAAGAGAGTCTTGCTGAGCAGGGTAAAGTTGATTTTTTTTTAACCTAGCTACCTGAATAATGGCAGACATTTGAAGGAAACTCTATTTGTTACCACCCAAGCAATGCTAGAACACAGTTTAAGGACACTACTGTTCAAAAGTGTGAGGGGTCGGTTAAATTTTTAAAAATGTTTCTTGAAAGAAGTCTCTTATGCTCACCATTTATTTGATCAAACGGTAATATTGTGAAATATTATAATTTTTTTCCTATTTGAATATATTATAAGGTGTAGTTTATTCTTGTCATGGCCAAGCTGAATATTTAGCAGCCATTACTTCAGTCTTCAGTGTCACATGATTCTTCAGAAATCATTGTAATAGGCTGATTTGCTGCTCAAGAAACATGTTTTTCTTATCAGTGTTGAAAACAGTTGTGCTGCTTAATATTTGTGTGAAATTCATAATACAGGATAATTTCAGGAATCTTTGATGAATTTCAAAATCTTCAAATCTTTGATGAGTTCAAAAGGAAAGCATTCATTTGAAAACAAAATCTTTTATATGTCTTTACTGTCACTTTTAGTCAATTTAATGCATCCTTGCTGAATAAAAGTAGCCTATTAATTTCTTTTTTAAAATCCCGATGGCCCCAAACCTTGGAACGGTGTGTGTTTACTGTGACCCTGTGCTTGGGGCCTTGGCAAAAGTCTGTTTTTTTCTGCATACTAGGTCTAAATTGTGTTTGTGTGCGTGTGTGCATGTGTGTGTGTGTGTGTGTGCACGTGCGTGTGCGTGTGTGTGTGTGTGTGTGTGTGTGTGTGTAAAACAGGATGTAGGGTGCTATTTCCATACATCTCAGGAGGCCATTTTTCATAATCCCAGTCTAACCTCTCTCTCACTCCCTTTCAAATTCTGTGGCACTGCAGTGCTCAGGAAGTCTACTTCTTATAGTCTTCTCTCTCTCTCTCTCTCTCTCTCTCTCTCTCTCTCTCTCTCTGAGGGGGATTAGAGACTTGCCCATGGGGTACATAGTGTATTTTTAAGCTGCTCTTTCCCTGCTGTGTCTCCAAACGCCAAACCCTTTCTCTCTTACACGCACACAGGTTTTCATATCACTATGAGTTCATTCCATAGGCATAATGGTTTTTATACTGTACAAACTGTATTTTCAACCCCCTTACCCTAACCCTACCCTTAAACCATTTTTAGATTTTCAAAACACTTCATTAAAACACTGTATGATTTATAAGCTGTTTTCCTCATGGTGACCAAAAAAATGTCCTCACAAGGTCCAAATTTACTGGTATTACTATCCTTTTGGGGACATTTGGTCCCCATAATGTAGGGAATACCAGTTACACACACAGTCTAATACATGTTTACTACAATCTAAAGGAGGACATACTGCTTATATTGTTTTAATGTGGAGCATTCTATTCTGTTCTATTCAGGACATCCCCAAATGTCCAATAGAGAGGTTACGTTAGATTTAGCTATCTTTTGGGGACAACACACACCTGATTTCTGCCATTGGACTACGTTAGGATTTTTCCTGTCTGTATGAGTGAGTCTTATCAACATGTAAACACATTTAGCATCAGGGTTACAAGCCAGAAAAGTAAAGCATAGACTTCCTACAGTGTGAGGATAATCTTAAGTGGACTCTCCGTGCAAATCACAGCTTTAAAGCCGCGGTGGGGGAAAGCAGAAGATCTAACAAAGTAAAACGTTTAATCATCGTTCTACCATCGATGCTGGAATGATTTTAATCCAAATTGATGTGAAATGTGTTCTTGGCACATACAGTTAAATCCTCATGGGAAGATAATGATAGTAGGCTATTTTAATGAAAGAACATTTTGGTACTGAACTGAGAACAAATTTTACTACCCAGGGCCTCCCTGGAGACCTGTTAATGTGTTTGCCATGTTGTTGCTGAGCTTTGTGAAATAGACATGAGATCATCAATATTTTATATTTTAGTACTGTACATATATGGTCTTCAAGGGGAAAAAAAAAACACCTCAGTTTTATTCAAAGGCCCAAACTGAGAAAGAAAATATGCAATTAGTGCAGTTGCTTATATTTATTTGACCAAAAAGTAAGATGAAATCTGTATAAATCTTTTTAACAGTAGAAATAGTTTATATAAGAAGTAGTTTATATAATATGTGGATAGAATTTTACACAGACAAGGTTATTTTTAATGTTTTGGTGCAGTGCAGTACCCTATAGCCTTTCATTTTCAGTGCATTAGTGTAAATGTCATTTTGTTTGCTTTTTACAAACTGAGGGAAATACTGTAATTATTTTCTACAGTAATTGAAAGTATGTCATGGATGCTGTCAATAGAACATAACTTGTATATACAGTCTCTGTGTATATATATATATAGGTCATGTTCATAATTGAATGAATACAGTCTTACTCTATAATGCCCTCATGACCTGTAATATTTGTTGCCGTTTTAATAAACACCAAACACATATCTGTCTTTAGTAGTGTTTATCTGATATTGTAGACTAAGCAGCTACTGGCTGTTTCCACAAATCTCAAATGACCTATTTGTGTTTGAATCGTCCACATCAGTCTATAGTAGAAATATTAAAGCCACAAATCAAAATCATACAGCACACTGTCTCTCTGTTCCCACACACACAAATCAAATCAAGCTATCATATGACACAACTACATGCAGCACAGAATGACTAATACCTTATTAAGAAGTGTGGTGGCACCAGGATACTTTCTAAACGTGACTGAGTTTGCTAAGCATTATGGGTAATGATTAGGCATAATTCTACTGCTGTTTAGAGCACTTACAGTTGATCTTGTTTGGTGCATTCTGGGTCAGTTTTTTGTCACAAAAGTTTTTTATTTTAAATGATTGCTGTTCTTTTGAACTTTCTATTCATCAAAGAAAAAAAAATATATATATACCACAGTTTCCACAGAAATATTAAGTAGCACAACTGTTTATGACATTGATAAGAGTAAGAAATGTTTCTTGAGCATCAAATCAGCATAGAATGATTTCTGAAGGATCATGTGACACTGAAGACTGGATTAATTATGCTGGAAATTCAGCTTTGCCATCACAGGAATAAATTACATTTTAAACTATATTAAAATAGAAAATAGTTAATAAAAATAGTAATAATACTCCACAATTTTACTGTTTTTACTGTATTTAATCAAAGCCTTGGTTAAAAAAAGGCATTAAAAATCTTGCCAACTCTTACCAACTATAAGTCTTTTAAACCTGAACATATATGGTTTCTTAAATTAAACCAAGCAAAGTTGTGACAAAGTTGAAAGGCTGCAACTGCTGGACTGACCAAATACTGAATATGAATGGATGATTTCTGTTTTTTTCCCCTATATTTTTTGTTTGTTTGTTTTACAACAATAATTCAACTTGATTTATCAAACATACAAATATTTTTTGGGGAAGTTGCTATTAAAATCCACTGAAAAATCAGAGGGGACACGTGGGTATGACGCATCTGCACTCGCACGCTACAGCCTACGCGCTGCAGAAACCCCAGACATCCACATTACATTAGATTAATACTTCAGGGTTCTGCTGTTCAGATGTTCCATCAGAGCTGAGCTGAAGTCCTCAGTCTCTCGTGAGAAGAAACTATACGATAGTTTGCTGAAGAACCATTCATTTTTGTTCACACTGACATGTGCCTCTGGCTTCCTGTGTTTTTGTCTTGCTCTCTCTTTTCTTGAGCAGATGTATTGTTGTGCTTAGCTGACGTTCACTTGGCTTTTTCTCCTCCATTCTCACCCACACACAGAGTTCGTAATGAGAGAGTGGGTGTGGGCTTTCATTTTCATTATGTACTGAGGTAGATTTGGCTGCTGTTTTCTACTCTTCTGTTCTTTTTTAAATCTCCTTTCACCTTCTCTTGCCGTTTTTCTTTTGTTTCTCACGTTCATACATTGAGCCATGGTATAAGGATTGTTCTACACTGAACTATGGCCTGCCCACTTAGACAGGAAAGACCTGACTGGCATAACATGTAACTGACCACAGTTTTGTTTTAGGCACTGAGATTTCTGAAATATCACAAAAACAGACTGGTGTAAATTAAAGGAATAGTTCACCTAATTATGAAAATTCTGTCATCATTTGCATACCCTCAAATAGAGGCTCTACACGGCCATGGTGATGGGAGGAAAAATTATATTTCAAAACATTTGCATTCTCTCAGAAAACATTTGTGTTCCCCCAAGAATCTTTGTGTTCTCTCGCAAAACATTTGTGCTCTCCCGTAAAAGACCCCCCTTCGTAAAGACCCCCCCCCATTTCTGTTTTACAATAGAAATGTTAAATGGCTGACAGTGACAAACTATTCAACTTTTTGTCAAATGTTGCCATTTTGTTAGTGAATTGAAAATATGTAATTTATATGATTCTGATTTATTTAATTCATCTGAATGTGAAGAGACAAGAAACATTAACAGAGTTGTTTTCGGCATATTAGGCATATGATTAAGAGTGAATGTGTGTATATTTTAAAATAAAAATATTATTTGCAGTTAGTTAAAATACATAACAAAAAATTTATAGTTCTTTTAATATTTTTCTTTATACTCTAAAATTCCTTTTAATTCCTGGGCCCCAGTGTCTCTCTCTCTATCTGTAAACACAATTTTTTTTTTGTTAGTGGAATAAAAAAAAAACTATGTGTCTTTACTCCCAGAAGATGCCAGCCAATCAGATTAGAGCCTGCCAGACCAAGTAAGTGCTTTCCAATTTTTGTGCAATATGCATCTGACGGTCTGGGAA